CCCCTGCCCTGGGCCCAAGCCATCGAAGAGAAACAGCCACCTGCTCTGCAGCCAGAGCCCTCTGCCCCGGCAGAGCGTCACTACTCCGGCTCCCCTGGGGGGAGGCTGCCCTTCCAGCAAGATTCACTGCCCCCAGTCAAGAGCAGACACTGACCCCACCTCCCTGGGGGAAGCATTCCAGGCCCCCCAGGCGGACTACCAGCACTTCTCCACAGGCTGAGGCCAGCAGCGCCCAACCCCAGCTCTGTGGGGAGCTCTTGGCCTGCAGTGAGCTGGGCAGTGCCCAACACAGCACCTGGACACACACCCCACCAGGGCTGTGGCACCCCTTCCAGACAGGCCCCACTGCATTTGAGGAAGAGGGCCACAGAGACCATTCATTCACCTGTGCTGGGGACATGGCCCATGTGGTGTGGTTGGTGCCTGAGCAGAGGGGGTATAGCCCTCCTGCCAGCCCACCCTGCCAGGGGCTCCACCAGCACTTTGAGTCCTCGTGGCCACCAACTGCTGTGCTGGCAGTGCCAGGCCAGGTTAGGGCAGGAGTGGGTCTCACGGAGACAAGGGTGAGGGTTAGTGTTCTTCCTCCGTGATGTCTGGAAGCCTCCGGGCTGGAGCATGCAAGGAGCAAATTGTTGGTCAGCCCTAGTCAGCAAGGCTTTCCTGCAGCCACGGGCACCAGGCGGGCACTGAGGCCACAAGTCAGACTTCTTGGCACAAGGTACAGGCTGCTGTGGCCAGGCTGAGAGGAAATGCCAGGGTGAGGGCTGCGGGGCTGCAGGGCAGCAGGATGGGCAGGCAGGGTCTCTCCAGGAACAGGCATCTCATACCATGGCTGAGGACATCCGTCAGTCACCTAGGAAGGGGTCCAAGGAGCCTGGCAAGATGGCAGGAAGGAAGCCTGCCCCCAGCACTTACGGGCAGAGGTGGGAACCCAGCCAGCAATGGGCCACTGGCCTTTTTTCCTTTGGTGAACACATAGAAAAACCTGCTGCTTCTCAGCAAGTGTGGGCATTCCCACGTACCGGTCTGGGCTCCGCCAGGAGGCCTGGCCCATGGAGGCTGGCTGCCCACACACAGAGATGCAAATGAGGGTGAAGGCCAGCCTCCTGCTTGCTCCGGAACCTGGGGGCTGCAGGCTAACCTCGCTGAGGGGACACCATGTGCACAGCCCATGATTAAGGCCCCATCTCCACAGCCCACAAACACACCCCAGCCCCAGGATGCAAGACACCACCCTGGTGAGGCACCTCTCTGGATTCCTGAGATGGGACAGGTCCCAGGCACCAATAGCCACGCCTCCATGGTCCGCCTGAACTCCCAGGACTGGAGCTGCCCTAAAGGCAGATAAGCAGGTGTGCAGTCCAGGGAACAGAACTGGGGTGGGAGGAGAAAGAAGTCAGATGTCCCTTTCCACCCATCTGGAAGCACTGCCGACCAGAAAAACCTGGCAAGTGCACAAGCACCCACCACCCACGGGCTCCAGCCCTGCACTGCGGGGCCCCCCAGGCCAGGAGGGCAGGGACAGGCTCCTGAGGACACCCACAAGCCAAGGCTCTTCTCTGGCCAGCCCCACCCCACGCCCAGGAACAGGGATCCTGTGGCCATCTACAGAGCACACTGTGGCCCAGAGAGAAACTAAGCGAGTGCAGGCTCCTGCTGTCCCAGAGAGAGCCCGGCCAGGCTGCCCAACACCAAGGCGCCCCAAGGCCTGTCCAGGCCTTCGTTACCACTGCTAGAGCCGGGCAAGGGCCGCATTGGGGTGGGCCACACCACCCTCTCCGCTTTTGTGTTTGTGAGCAAATGCATTTTAAAACTAGCTAAGACAATTTGAAGAACACAGGCAGTGGTGGGTGGTTATAAAGACTGATTATGAAGCTGGAGCAGAGTCAGACCAGACCAGAGAGCGGGCGGCACCACAGACCTGTTGGCCACTGTGGCCAGGCTGGCGCCAGCAGCTGACATTGGAGCAGCTACCTGCCCTGTGGAAACAGGTGAAATGGGATCCGACTGGTCAGGATAGAATAGGTTGTGCTGTGGAAAACACAAGCCCCAAACGCAGTGCCTTCACACATCAAAAATTTATTTCTTGCTCACATTACATGCGCACTGCTGTCAGCAGAGGGGCTCTGCTCATCACAGGCTCTGGAGGGCGACAGCCGACCCCTCCCTCGCACCACACAGTTACACTTACGAGGAGACTTCAGGCTGAATGTAAAAGGCAGAGCACTGCCACTTGGGAATACAGGATGGCTTTGTACTTGGACATGTGAGAAGAGCGCAGCGTACAGAACTGGGCGCGGCCCACGTGCTGCCCCACGCCTCAGCACAGGCCGCAGAACCTAGGCCTGGAGGACTGTGTGTGTGGGCAGCCGCTCAAGGCAGCACTGTCCAAAACTGCAACAATAAAAAACAGACCCCCCGGGGGCATCGTCATGGGCTGAACTGTGTCCCCCCGAGTGTTGTCATGTTGAAGTCCTAACCCCAGTACCTCAGAATGTGCAGAGAGGGCCTTTAAAGAGGGAATTAATTATGGTCATTAGAGTGGGCCCTGGTCCAACACACCTGGTGTCCTTATAAGAAGGGACTGAGACACAGACACACAGACTGAGCGATGACCATGTGAGACCATCATCTGTAAGCCCAGGAGAGAGGCCTCAGGGGAGACCAGCCTGCCCACACCTTGGTCTCAGACTTCCAGCCTCCAGAGCCCTGAGGAGATAAATGCCTGTTGTTTAAGCCCCAGCCCGTGATGCTTTGTCAGGGCAGCCTACCGGGCACCTCACTGCAGGCACCGATGCAGGCCCACCCTCCAGCGCTCGAGGGCAGCACTAACCGGCAAGGCGTCCAGCGGCTGCTTACCCTATTCAACGCCAAGTGCGCTGCCCCATGGGATGATTAACTCTTATCCTGCAGAACTTAGGTGTGGCCCTGTGGCTTCCTCTGCCCACAGAAACGTAAGTGGAGTGACAAGTATCACTTGTGGCCTGCTGTGGCCTTCCCCCTGCCTCTGCAAGTGTGGAGAAACACGTCCGCATGGAGCTCCAATCAGCGCAGGTCCCTGAGGGGCCGCAGCAGGGGAGGGTGCGCCGGCCCACCCGAGATAGACATGCAGCGCGAGCAGGAGACAAGTGGTGCCAACTCGGGTTGCTGAGCTGCCAGGGGTCCGTGACCGCAGTGCGATCTGGCCCAGGCAGGCTGACACCACAGGGAACTGCTCCATCTGCCTCCATCCTTAGTCTTGGATCTCTGGACTTCTCCAGTTCTGCCGTTCACACTGCAGTGACACCCACAAGGGCCCAGGCCCCCACCAAGGCACTGCGTGGGCACAATTCACGTTCAACCCCCTAACCGCCCTGTAAGGACAAACTATTTAATATTTTCACAGCCCACAGATCAAGAGGCATCAAGGACCCTGAGCTTGTGTGGGGAGGCGGCCAGGCCTGGCCAAGCTCCAGCGCTGCTTGGAGCCCCCACATGGAGCCCCGGGGCATATGGCACGTGGTCACAGTACACGGAGCCCCGGTGCATACGGCACGTGGTCACAGTGCACCTTTCATTGTTATATGGTCAAACTGTAGGATCTTACGCTCCCACTAACAACAGAAGAAAGCCTACTTCTCTGTATCTTTGGCAATTCTGGGTATTTAAAACTTTAAAAAAATCCTGCAAGCATGGGTTAAAAAAAAATTCACCCGTATCTCCCTCTAGTACTTCTACGATATTTTAGTGTTGAAGTCTCTAACCCATCTGGAATGTACACTGATATAAAGAGTAAGGTAGATAACTGGTTTTACTATTTTCCAGATGGCCAACCAGCTGTTCCAACTGCCGCAACTGAATGATATGTTTTACCTCCATTAATTTTCGTTTGGTTTGGTTTTTTGTCCAAGGTCACTCTACCTGAATTACCCCCATTAATTCGAAATGACATCTCCAGCATGTACTAAATTCCCATATTTATCTGGCTCTATTTCAAAGTTCTTTATTCTCTGTTCATCTGTCCACAACATCTAAGTACTTTAAATACCACAGCTTTATAAAATATTCCAGTATCTCACACGACCCTATCCTCAGTACTTCCTGTTTTAAAATTTTCTTTGGAGACAGGTACTTTAAAAACCACGCCATAGTGCCCACCGTGTCCTATCTTCAGGAAATAAAGCCTCCGGGTATTTCCAAGGGAAGTGAGGGACAGACACCACGACTGGAAGGCAGGTCCAGCAGCTCGACCTGCCCTAGGCTCGCCCAGCCACGTTCTGCGCTCCCAAGTCCCCTCCTCCAGCTCATCTGCCCACGTGCACAGGCCGGGAGTGGCCAAGAACCCAAGGCCCCTCGCACACAGGGCCCAGCACCTTCTCGCCAAGGAGCTCAGTCATAGCCTCTGCCCAAAGGCAGGTGCTACAGCTGCTGGTGATGGAGCCACTTTGCAAGGCCGTGTGTGCTGCCTGTTTGGAAGGCCAGGCCAGAGCCCCATCCTCTCTCCCACCCAACCTGTGTAGGGGACCTGGCCATGGCGCTGCAAGACTCTGCCTTCCTTTCCTTAGTGGTGAGAACCCAACCACTAAATAAGACCGATTTTCCAAGTGAAAAAACAGGTCACCTTGACTCTCCCGTGTGCTCTCGAGCCTGCCTGGGCAGACACGGCACAGCTGGCCCTCACAGAGGCACAGTGGACCATGACCCACATCCCTGGAGCTGCCTGGGGCCTGAGGGAGGAAAAGGCCCAAAACCCTGATGTGACGGGGTCAGAAGGGAACTCAGCTCTCTCAAGCTGCTCAAGCTGCAGGGGTCCACTCCAGGCCCCTAAGTGGAAGCAGGGCGGGCAGCCTTGCACAGACCAGCAAGGTGCAATAAAGGCTGGCGGGGTGACTGGGCTGTCCCTCCCAGAGGCTGGCTCTGTGTTCTATGCCGGAGTCACAGGCAGGCCAGGCCTCAGCCAGCTGGAGATGGGTGTAGGGGTGCAGCCCATCCCAACTCACAGAAGCAGGGCCGTGAGGCACCTGAGAAGGCACGCAGAAGCACAGGGCTGGGCCAGGACGTCCAGGGCTTTCACACATCTGACCAAAATCCTGACCGCGCACAGCTTCCTCTGTCAGCTTGCTTACTCTGTCACGGCCTCAGCAGCCTAAAAGAGCTTCCCACCTAGTTCCGAGATTTTCAGCTGTTGTATTTGTAGACATCTGTGCCTTGAAATAACACACATAAAACCATATGAACCCAGAGCCCTTTTTAATAACAGTTACCAAACACAATAATCCCAACAATTTCTATTTTTCTGAAAAAGTTTTACCAGATGTTTGCTTATTACTGTTTTTCCTAAAATAACTGCCTGTATTTCCAATTCAAGTTTCTACTTTTTCCTTCCTACTTTTCAGGAAGGTGTTATTTTGTTTGCACAAAGGTAAAAATGTAAAGGGCTTCAAATTCTTGTCTCAGCACCCCTCCAAGCAGGCGCACGCTGCCTGTGGAGTGGCTGTACCTGCTCATCCCACGGTAAACTTGGCTTGAGGGAGCTTCCATGTTCAGCTTCCACTAGAAAACCCACCCTTGTGCAGAACAGGCTTGCTTCATTCCAATCTCTGGGCCTGGGGCCACACAGCTCTGGACTGCTGCCTGGTCCACACTTCACCTATGGCTCTCGGAAGTCAGTTTTCCAGGCCACCCCCCATCAGCCGAGCCCACTCCCACCCCCACCTATTCAGCCTCAACTGCAATCAGAGCCTTGGATCCACAAAGCCCCCCCCCCGCTTACAAACCACCACACCTGTGACACTGACCTGGGACACTCACGGCCAGGCCTCTGCTCCTCAAAGAATAGGAAACAAGAACTCCACTTGTCAGCCAATGATCCAACACACATTTAATGAGCACCAATTGTGTACCAGGGCCACAGAGCTAACTAAGACAGACCCCACAGTCTGCCAGGAGATACAAGTCACTGGAGTTTAAGTGCTGAATCAGCGATACAGGAAAACGCAGAAGGGAGGCAGCACAGTAGCGGAGTAAGGTGCCAATTCTGAAAAAACCAGGCAAGACCAGAACGTTAACATACAGGAGATGGAACCGGAGTTGAGTCTGGCAAGGGACTTGCATCCCACCTTCCTGCATCCAAACCTCCCAGCCAGCCAGGGCTACTGATAAACCCACAGGGTAGCACTGTTCTCTGCCAAGACACCATGTGACACCTAACACAAGGATGAAAGGGGCCGTTTCCTCCAGGCAGCCTTCCCTACATTCCAGCCAGGAGCACAGAAGACACGGGGAGCAGAGATGTTGGGGGTGCAGGCACCAGATCCAAGCAGGGCAGGCAGGGCAAGCCCAGTCCAGTCCTGGCCAGTGTGGAAAAACACCAAGGGGACTACCTTATGGGAATGGGGTGAAAAAGAAGATGCAAGTATCTGATGGGAGGTGACCCACAGAATTATTCACCTAGTGGGAACAGGCTGGGGAGACGGCACTCCCAGGGAGGGGTGGGACACAGCTGAGAACCCAGCAGGAGCAGGAGGACAAAGCACAACGCCGAGGCCGAGGTTTGGCCGGAGGCAGGGAGAGCTGTTTGTGTTCAACTGTTTGGGGCAGGGCCCAAAACAAGTGTACCTCCTTGCCCAGCTCTGGGGTCATCTGAAATTATCTGGGGACACCACTCTGCTTTGACTAGAGACCACAGGGCTCTCTGCCCACACAGGCCACTTCACCACGGGGGGCACTGCTTGGGCCTTGTTCAGAACCCAGGGATGCCAGGTGGGAAACAAGAGAAAATGGTGGCTCTCTTGGGGCCACTGGGGCATCCACCACCTCCCATGGGTACCTAAGGACACCTCCTGGTCTTAGAAATCTTCTCTTCTATTTTCTGGGGCTTTGGACCCCCTGGGCAAGCTGGTCTGGTCTCTGAGCAGGGGGGTTAGCAGAGCCTGAAAGGGTAGGACAGGTTTGGGGGCTGCCTCCTCTGGCCGAAAGAAAGCTGGCTCCACAGGCCCAAGATGTGAGCTGCACGTACGACTGGGCAGGGCAGGGTCTCCTGAGGCCCAGGGGTGCTCTCCTTGGTGAGCTGCTGCCTGGGTAGAGCATTTCTGGATGTAGAGCTGGACCTAGAAACTGCAGGGGTGGCTGGAGCAGGCCTATGGGGGCTGCCCATGTTGAGTGCCAGGGCCTCCGAGAACCAAGCCAGGTACTGCCTTACCACAGGCAGCTGCGGGGCCACTGGTGACTGGCTTGAGGCCAGGGGCAGCAGGCAGGGCACTGTGGCACGGTGCTCAGTGAAATTGTTCGGGTCCTGAATAACTTCCTTGAGATCCTAGCAAAAGAGCTTGTAATCGTCAGGCAGGGGCAGGTCCCTGTTGAGGTAGGGGGCTGCCCACGCCCAGGCGTGGCCTCTGAGGCATTGGAGGATCTCATAGATGCAGTTGTCCTGGTAGTGCTGGTAGTGCTCGAAGCGGAAAGACAAATAATTGCCCAGCTGGGCCAAAAAGTGGTCCAGCAGTCAAGCGGAGCAGTCAAAGGTGCCCAGGTCCGAGCCTGGCACCCAGTGGAAGTCCACCCTGAGGGGCTGGGGGCTGGGCATGTGCCCAGCCGAAGGACACCTTTCGGTGGGCTTATCACTGGGAGTGCCACTAGCTGTGCTCTTCTGCTCCATGGTTGTGTGCATGCACACAGGGTCCCCACAGCAGGGCCGCTAGATCCAGGGGTCCACAAGGGGGATGCGCCCCACCTCAGAGGAAGCCCAGTCTGTCTGCTGCCAAGGATGTGGGCACTGGCGTAACTGGCAACTGCCTGGGTGGGTTTGCAAGGGCCCTGCCGATGGTGCCGGCCACGGGGCATGCTGAGAGCAGACAGGAGGGGCGGGGGGCAAGCCAGTGCGAAGGGGGTGTGGACAGAAGCGCCTTGCACAACACAACAGAACAGGGACGGCTGCACAGGGCGTGGTAGACTGCACAGGCCCAGGCAAGTGCTGAGGATGGGGAGCTGACAGCTGCAGCCTCTGGAGAGCTGGGAAGAGCTGAGGGGACTGTCAGACGCAGGCCATCATCCGCGGCAATCTGTCCAAAGATAAGGCAGGGAAGAGCAGGAACTAGGCCCACCCATCACCACCAGCTGGCAGGAGACAGCAAGTAGGCAAACCCCAGATCCCGACCAAGAGCTCTGAGCAGAAGCGGGGGCACAGGCTGGCCCGAGAGGTCCAAGAAGGCAGGCAAATGCCATCAATGACATTTCCAGGGCAAGGTATAATGAGAGATGCTGTCGACCCCAGGAGAAGGGGTAATTGGAACTGTCAGGGAATTTTAGGACAGTAGTAGCAACCTTTCACTGAGTGCTCTCTTTGTGCCAAACACTGTCCCCCTTCCCCCATGAGATTGGTACTATGCTCACTGCCAAGGCACAAAGTGGTGAAGTAACTTGTTTGCGGCCACATGCCAACCAGTTAGTGGTGGAGGCAGTGGAAACTGGCTCTAGAAAACACAGGCTTGACCACTACACAGCATGCAGATTTATCAACTATGCTTCAGTCCAGCTGAGTAGGCTCCTGGCCACCCTAAACAGGGCAAACTGCGAAATATGCAAACCAGGTCCTCATAAGGTTCTTTTTGATCCCAGCACCAGGCCCGCGGCAGGTGCTACCTGCATGCCCACCAGAAGCTGGGAGCTTCCTCCCGCCCCTCCCCTCAATGCTTTCCAAATGTACCTCTCAAACTCTAAGAGCTGCCTGCAGGCAATGCCAGCCCCACCCCAAACACCACCTCCCCTCAGTCCCCATCACAGCCAATAGCCCAGCAACCTAGCCCCCAAATGTGCCATCCTACTTGCTGTGTCTGTGTCTGCTCCTGCCATTCCAGTCACCTGTGCCAAGGGCCTGGAGAGCCCCCTCCTCTCCATGCAGTGGTCACCTAGGGGGCTCCACAATCAACAGCTAAAGGTGTCTTCAAAAGTGCAAGAAACTCTCCTGTGAGGGATCTCACGCTCTGCCCAGCCTGACTTGAGCCCCCTCCCCAGTCTCTCTGCTAAAGGAGGCCCACTCATGACCTCCATGAAACCCTCTGTTTCACCCCTGCACACAAAACCCCCTCAGCGTGAGCTCCCCCAGGGAGGAATGGCTATGTTGGTCTTTCCACCCATCCATGGGTGGCCTGCAGCACTTGAAGCTGCCAGGGCCACTGCACCTACCTCTGCAATGCAAGCATCCTGGAACCCCCCCAGTTCTGTCCCCCACTCTGGGGTGTCTTATGCTTGAAAGCTCAGCCTTTGACCCTGGCTTCTCACCCTCCTTGCAAAAAAAGAATATACCATGGCCTGCTAGCAGCAGTACCCCATGGGACAGCGTGTGAGTGGAATCCAGTCCAGTACCTCTCTGAGCTCTAAAAAGGCAGTGACCATGATGTCGGCCCCAGCTCCCACCAGCAACCCCAGATTAGGTACCAGGCCGCTCACGAAGACCACATCCCATGCCCTGGAGGCAGCGCACTGCCCAGATCTCTGCCCTCCCGCCCACTCATAACCTTGGCTGTCACCCTGCCCATGTGCCTGCAGTCCAGGGAGCAGGCTCCCCTTTACCAGCTCCGGCCTGAGCCTTCCTACATCTGGGCCGGACTCCCGCCATCTTGAGAACCTCAGCCCTCTCACACCTGTCAATATGTTGGGCTTCCCAGCTTCCCTTCCCACCATGCCTGGCACGGGGGCGTTCATGCCGTTCTCCTGGACTGGACAGCGCTCTACTAAGGGGCAGGTACCACAGCACACAGTGTTCGCCTCCACAAAGCCCAACGCAGCGCCTGGACGCTGGAGCGTTCTCTGCTCCCAGGACTGGAATTTGCCCAGAGCCCAAGCGTGGAGGGCAGCCGACCGCCAAGCCCGCTCCCCCCGCCCCGCAAGCAACTACCATGCAGGAAATACGGGCTCCCAGGCCCCGGGGCAGGAAGAAGCCCACCCACCTGCGGCGACGCGAGGCGCCCGCGGAGACGGTCCGAGGATCCCCAGCAGAGACCAGACGGACGGGCCTCCCTCGGAGGGCAGTGTCCAAGCGCCACCTGGAAAGTGAGGAATGAGATAGGTTCCAGGAGTCCAGGCGGGGCGGGCGCGACCTCCCGGGACGGCCCGCAACTTCCCGGAGCCCCCTTCCCCGACCTCCAGCGCGGACCGAGAGACCCAGGCCAGGGTCCGCGCGCCTCTTCGTGGGCCGGGGGTCGGTAAGGGAGGAAGGGCGCAGCCCCAGGCCTGCGCGCGCGGGGCTCCCGCGGCCACACTGACTCTCTGGCGCAAGTCGGCAACGTCTCCTCGAAGCACCGCAGCGCCCAGCGTCCGACAGCGTCGCGCAGCCACGCCCCCAGCGTACGCGCGGCAGCCCCGTACGACTCCGCGCAAGCTCGGGGCACGCCCATGCGGGCAGTCAGCCGGGCCGCGCCTGCGCCATGTGCCCCTGGGGGAGGGGGGCGGGCGGTGGCCGCGCATGCGCTCTCAGATGTTACCCGCGCGGCAGCCCCGCGTTGGCGTGCCCACAGTCCCACGCCGCGCCGAGGAGTAGGGGTGCGAGCGGAGCCGCGGGCTGGCGACCCCGGCCGACGGTGTCACCGTGGCCCTCGGATTCGGGAGTTCTGGCCCCAGCTGCCGCGGAGACTGAGGGGCGGACCCGCAGTAGCTGCCCGGATAGCTGCGCGCTGGTGCAGGGACGTTGGGGAGGGTTCGGGCGCAGAGGGCTGCTGAGCTCCGGGCCGTGAGTGCCAGGCGTTGCCGCGTCCTCACAGTGCCCCTCCACCCGGCGCCGGTGCGCGAACCCAGCTTGGCCTCGCACCTCTCGCCTAGCGCACAGGCGGGCAGGCCGGTCGGAAGGCTCTCACCTGCGTGCCCAGGGGCTGCAGGCCGCCCGTGTACCGCCTGCCCGAGCCGCGGCTGGACCCAAAGGGGACAATGAGGGCGGGCCGTCAAGGCCTCCCGGCGGGGCCGCGCCCAGCCCGAGCCTGCTGCCCGCCCCGGCGTGCCCAGTCAGCACCCAGACACTTCGGGGAAGTCAAGAGATGAGGTGGCGCGCTCCTCACGTGCAGGCTCATGGCCCGCCCTGCAGCCTGCCGGGTCTTAAGGGTGCCGGCCCCCAGCCGAGGACCTGCCCCCCAGTCTGGGACCTGATGCCAAGGACCTGCCTGCAGGCCAGGAGCCCTTGGGACCTGGGCAGGCGGAAAGTGACGCTTCTCAAGGCGAAACACGTAACACACCAGCTCCCTTCTGCCCTGGTCTAGTGACTCCTTTTATGAAAGATCTCTGAAACGTTATCTGCGTTTACACCCAAACTCACTGGCTTTGATCCTTGAAATGCGAATCAAAGATCACATTGTACCTTCCCTGGGTCTGTGGGGCTTTCAGCGCCTGGGCCAAAAATAATAAAAGTGGCACCCAGCCAGGAAACGCCTCCTTGAAGTGGGAATGAAACTTGGATTTTTCGGTTGTATCTTTCCTAATTGACCTGATAATTTAAACTTCCTCCCTCAAGGGAGAGGGGCGTATTCCTGCAAATTCAGCTTACCTCAGACTCTAGGCAGCTCAGGGCCTGTCCGCAGAGAGTGGGCAGCAGACTTGTGTAAGAGGCTAATCCAACTGGGTCAGAAAAGGCCCTTTTTGGTCCCAATTGCTGTTTTTCTTTCCGACCATCTTTATGCTATACAAAGTTTTGCTAAAAGAGGGACCGCATGTATGCAACAGTGGCCATCCAGTAAGCTAAGGTTAGTTATTACTGAAACAAAAATATTTATTATAACTTCAGTGTAGCCTAAGTGTCCAGTGTTTATAAGTCTGCAGTAGTGTAGGGTATAGTAATGTCCTAGGCCTTCACACTCACCAAGAGCAACTTCCGGTCCTGCAAGCTCCGTTCATGGTGTGTGCCCTATTAAGGTGCACCATTTTATATCTTTTATACTATATTTTAACTGCGCCTTTTATATACTTAGCTATGTTTAGATACATAAATACTTAGTATATTGTTACAGTTGCTTACAGTATTCATACAGTAACATGCTTTATACAGGTTTGTAGCCTAGAAGCAACGGGCTATACCACATAGCCTAGGTGTAGTACGCCTGCGGTACCCGACCCCCATGCTGAGGAGGTACAGGTCTGTGGCCTATTAGGAAAAGCACAGCAGGGGGTGAGTGGCAGGTGAGCAAGTGAAGCGTCATCTGTGTCATCTGTATTTACAGCCGCTCCCTCTCACTCCCATCAACCCCCGCCCCCAGTCCATGGAGAAATTGTCTTCCACGAAACCGGTCCTTGGTGCCAAAAAGGTTGGGAACTGCTGTTAAGTAGGCTATACTATCTAGGTTTGTGTAAACACGCTCTGTGACGTTTGCACAATGACAAAATTATCTAACAACACACACACATTTCTCAGAATGTATCCCTGTCATTAAGCGACACGTGACTATTTTTTGACATGGTAAAATATACATAACAAAATTTATCATTTTAGCCATTTTTAGGTATACAATTCAGGGGCATTAAGTACATCCATATTCTTCTTATGTAACCATTACCACTATCTATTTCCAGAACTCTTTCATCACCCCAGAAACTCTGTACCCATTAAACACTAACTCTTCATCCCCTCCCACCCCCAGTCCCTGGCAACCTGCATTCCACCTTCTGTTTCTGTGAATTTGGCTACTCTAGGTACCTCACATGAGTGGGATCATACAGTATTTGCCGTTTTGTGGCAGGCTTATTTCGCTGAGCATATTGTCCTCAAGGTTTATCCACATTGTATCATGTGTCAGAATTTCTCTCCTTTTTAAAGCTGAATAATATCCATTATGTGGATAAGCCATATTTTGTTTATCCATTCA